CTTTTTGCTCGCCCTTTACTGCGTATATGTAAATAGATCGCGTGCTTTGATTTGCACATTTCTTCGGGACAGACCAACATAAGCTACAAAAGAGGGATAAAGGGGCAGGATGAGTGTTGAGAAACGACTCGTGGAGAGAGAGAGAGAGAGAGAGAGAGAGAGAGAGAGAGAGAGAGAGAGAGAGAGAGAGAGTCGATCTTTCTTCTTCCACTTACCAGCGGCAGACTATTCAGAGCTGAGACGATCGTCGAAGAAAGCCACAATGCCACCAAGGCACCGCCACCGTAAAGAGCAACACCTTGCTTATTCTCTACTGCATCCCACTGGCATAACAAGAGCAGAACACAGAGGAAGCAGAACACAGAGGAAGCAAAACACAGAGAGAGAGAGAAAGAGAAAGAGGGTGAACCAAACAAACAATCACACCACAACATTCCTCCTGCAGCAAATTCAAAACACAGAGAGAGAGACCCCGACAGAGAGAGAGAGAGAGAGAGAGAGAGAGAGAGAGAGAGAGAGAGAGAGAGAGAGAGAAGAGGAGGATGAGCAGGAGGAGGAGGAAATAGAGAAAAAAAACAAACGATTACACAATGATACGCAGAGGAAGAAAGGTCTGGTCAGAGTCGACAACAAGTTAAAAACCTGCACATCCGGACACTACAGAGTATATAGTACTATACAGGGTTGCCGGCGTTCAGGACGGGTCGAACATCCGAACCCGAATGCCCGAACGTTTGGGAACCCCTCTCGACACGTTCGGACGTTCGGCCGAACGCGGAACCAAAAAAAAAAACAAAAAGAAAGACAAACAAAGTTTCCAAAAATTCTGAAAAAAAAACTATGTCATGCAGAAGAATAAGCTAAACAACATTTGCCTCAACAGTACATCCAAATTTCTTACCAAATTTGAAATAAAAATCAAATACGAAAAACAAATAATATTAATGAAAATAAGAAAAAATAAAACGAGAATGAAATTATTGTGTGGGCGAGCACGTTTCTGACACCGCCATCTTTGGCGATTTTTCATTTTTTTTTGGCTTTGTCAAATGCCATGAAATTTTATACATACGTGTCTTACATCATAGAGAACCTACAAATAAAGTTTGAAAAAATAATATTTTTTTTCAGGCCCCGAAATAAAGGGAAAACAAAAAGTGAAAAGAGAAAGAAAACAAATTAGTAAGTGGGAAAGCAAGTTTTGACACCACCATCTTTGCCGATTTTTCATTATTGTTTGGCTCCACAGAATGACTTCAAAATTGAGAGACAGGTAGCTTACATAACAGAGAACTCACAAAAAAAAATCAGAAAAACATAATAATTTTTAGGTACCAAAATATTTTTTTGCGGGGTCCGAACCCCTTCGAGTTCGGGCCCCATACGGGGACCCGAACGCCCGAACGTTCGGGGGTCAGCTTAGGGGCCTCCGTACGTTCGGCCTGGCAACTCTGGTACTATATACAGATTGTCAGATACTAAACAGACAAGGAGACAAAGAGACAAAGAGACAAAGAGAAGGAGAGAAGGAGAGCTTTCCTTCTGCACAATTCCCGCCTTCAATTTTTTTTGTCAACACTACGTCATTTGTGGTCAGAGGGAGATAAAAAGGGTCAGAGGGGGATAAAAAAGGTCAGAGGGGGATAAAAAGGGTCAGAGGGAGATAAAAAGGGTCAGAGGGGATAAAAACTTGAAAAGGGTCAGGGGGGATAAAAAAGGTCAAGAGGGGATAAAAAGTTGAAAAACCTGCACATGCGAAGTGAGGTTTTTAACGTTTTAACGTTTTATGATGATGCCGTACTGAGCAGAAACTTAAATTTCTGTGAGTTTCATTTTCTTCTCAGAAAGGGATCATCATCAATTACTAACGGATGACATCATTTCGCTGAGTTTCTGTCCGACAGTGAAGCAGTGTACATTTTAAGAGAAGAAGAAGAGAAGAAGAAGAAGAAGAAGAAGAAGAAGAAGAAGAAGAAGAAGAAACATGGATGACTTCAAATTTCGCATTCACCCTTTTTTTTTCATTTTTTTTTTTCATGTCCCTGACCCGGTTTCTTTTCGCCAGTGAAGCGTGAAGTACACACCACTCACTGTGGTTCAACAAATCGAAAACCGAGAACTCGTTTCTTGATTTGGGCCGTCGAAGGCATAAAAACTAACCATCTTGGTTGTATAGCTAGATAGACAGAGGTAGCGATGGAGAGAGAGCAAACAAGCAAAAAAGGGAGAGAGAGACAGAGACACAGAGACACAGAGACACAGAGACACAGAGACACAGAGACAGAGATAGAGAGAAGGAGAGAAGGAGAGAAATACAGAGAGAGAGAGAGGGAGGGAGGGAGAGTAAACGAGAAAAGGAACGGAATGTGTGTGTGTGTGTGTGTGTGTGTGTGTGTGTGT